TATTATTATTTTGTTTTGTTTTGAGAGGAAGAAAAAGTTTTTAATTACTTTACTTGACTCTGCTTGGAAGATGATAACTTGACTAATTTACAATTCTTGGTCGTATTTATAATTTTGTTAGCTTAATAGTTAGAGTGGACGGACAGAAAACTATAGCGAATTATGCTTCTATATTTTTTTTTTCCACTATGGGACCATTCCATAAGTTTATAAATTCGTTTGTAGACGTTTTTTATTTTAATAAAATATTGACACTCTTGGTAAAAAAAAAAAATGTAAACTGATTATTCTTAAATGCGAACTACTTTAATTCCTTGTATTAAATCTTGTTTTTTTTTTTTTGGTCACGGTATTAAATCTTTAAAAATTAAAAAACATTTGCTTCGTTTCTGTGTATAAAAACCCCATAGTACAATGAGTGTTTACAAATCTTCCATAGTTCCATTAAACGTAATCCTGTGAGCTCAATGTAAGTCTCTCTGAGTTCTGTGATTTTTCTTGTATTCGGATTATCGAAAAGAAACAAAAATCTGAACTATTATCATCGCGATAACTCACAAGATTATATCTTCTTGAACACTGACATTAAGAGTCTTATTCTGAAGAACAATGCTTCCTATGACTGCAACTTCATCCTCCACTGTTACAGCCTCACCTGCAAAAACAAAATGTATCAGAAAAAACACGAATCATTTGTTGAAACAGCAAAAGCTTTATAAGAAACAACGAAATTTACCAAGAATCGTAATCCCAAGCCTTTCATTGCAATCTCCACTAGCATCAACTCTTGACCATCTACCTATCGAAGATTTCCAACCGATGATTGAGTTTATAACAACAGCATTTTCCTGCATTGAAACAAGATTAGAACATCGAAAACACGTCTTCTTGGATTTGTAATTAGACAAAGATTATAAACTCATTACCTTGATCTCAACGTCGTCTAAGATTATGCAGCTAATAAGCCTTACACCAGGTCCAATACGAACGTTTGCTGAGATTGACACATTTGGACCGATCTTGTTCCAAGGAATTTAAGATTTAAGAGAACGGGTCATTTGCAAATTTAAGTAAAGTAGATTTCAAGAGACTTTTCAAAACAGTTACCTTTGCGGTTGGATGCAGTTTTACGGATGGGTGAATATAAACATCACCAACTATCATCGGTTTCTTATCAGTACCATCTCCTGAAGCCAAAAGATGAGGTGACATTTGGCGGAATTGGGAAAGATACAAAGCCGAGCATTTCAAAGATTTCCTGTTGAAAACAAATTGTTAGCATGAGGAGTTATAAGTCGGTTGGGGCCCCAAAAACAAAAGTTATAAGGATCCAGATAGCAATCCAGATTACCCCGGAGTCTTAATCTGTTCCCAAAAATCCTTATTCTCATATGTGTATAGTTGCTTCTTTCCAGCAAGTGGTGACAATATATCTTGATCTAATCTCACGAAATCCGCAGGAACAGACCTTGTAGCAGATTGGAAGTGATCAAAGCTCGATATCTGGTAGTTGCTAGCTGCCAAATTTAGTATAAAGTGATTATAATTGAAAACATATAATCGAAAATAATGGAAGTCTCTTGAGATAGGCCTATAGTGTAAACTCACATGTATCTCTCATTTGGCTGTATACTTTTTCGATGGCTTTGAAGATATCTGAAGTAAACACATAGACACCACAGTTTATCAAGTCACTGACCTGCATCACGTGAAACCTTATAAGCTCAATGACAAAGTCCATAACCAGTGAAGGAAACAAGAAAACAGGAAACTTTAGCAGAGAATTACGAAAGTCTCGGGTTTCTCTGTATAATGCAAGAGTTCTTTAGTATCAGGATCAGCTATCAACTCTCCAAATTGGCTGGCTGCTTCTGCAGAAACCTGGAAGCAAGAAAACAAAATGCATGAAGTCTTGATCTTTTATATATGTGTCCTCAATGATATCTATGAACAAAGGAAAAAATCAAGGACATCGCACCTTGATTACTAGCATAGTTCCAATCCCACCATATCTTCGATGTGCGTCTGCCAAGAATTGTGAAGTTACACCACAGGCAAATGATGAAACAGACTTACGATTTTAAAGCGTTTACATTATGAAGATTACCGAGTATGTCTTGGAGAGGGAAAGAGCAGCAAACATCACAGTTTAGGAGGAAAACATGTGACTGTTCAAATGACAAAAAAAAAACAAAGACAAATGAAGATGAATCAACAACACACATGACTAAATGAAGCAAGAACAAAGATTAGAGAATTCGTTAGAGATCAAACCGGTTTTTCTTCCATGATTCTATCCCGAAAGTAATAAAGTGCACCAGCAGAACCATGAGGTTTATCTTCTTTCAAGTATCTACACAACAAGAACACACATGAGAAAGGCTTACACTGGACACCAAAACAAGGAAAACACACAAGTTGCTATAAACTTACCGCACTGGA